GGCGCGGGCCGCCGCGCGACGCGGCGCCGGCTTCGGCGCCGGCCGGGGGCCGCGGTGGGGGCCGTGGGCCGGCCGCCAACATCAACGTGGCCGACGACTCGGCCTTCCCGGCCCTGGCTTAAGCGGCCCCGGTTGCGCGGGACGGCCCGAGCCCCCGCGCGGCGGCGAGCCGCGTCAGCCTCCGTGGGGCCGGCGCTTTGCTGGCACGCGGGGCGGCGGTGGCGCATGATCGGCGGACGACAAATGACGTGCGCCCAGCAAAAAGTCGGCACCAGGCCTAGGCGGGCAGGTGCCGCCGAGGTCAACAATACAGCAGCAGCACACAACAGCAGCAGCAGCACCCAGCAGCAGCAGCAGCAGCAGCACGAGCCACAAGAGCAGTGGCGCAGCAGTGAGGACGCGAGCCTGGGCAGTGGCGGCACTCCCTTCCGGCGGCGCTGTCGATGGTTCTTCGCAGTCGCAGCGACCCCTTTCGGTGTGCAGCGCCCAGGCACTCCCGCGGGGCCGCTAGGCGCCGGCGCTGCGCGCATCGGCGCAACAGCAGCGGCGCAGCGCATGGCTGCCAACATGCGCGCTCTTGTGCGCACCAGCCGTGGGTGTGCTCGGTCCCAGGGGCTGGGGCCGCGGGCGCCGCGGCCATTTTCAGATACCAAGGTTACCTGCGTGTGTTTGTGTCCCATTGTGGGCATCTCGTCGTGCGTCGCGTGTACGTACCCTGTGCGCGGTGATCAGTGCTGGCGGCATGGTGCAGAGGGCGCACGACGCCCCCGGCGCTGCCGGCCTGGGTCTGTCGCTGTCGGTGTATCCCGTATGTTTTGGGGGGCCTGGCGCCTCCTGCCTGGGGGTCTTTCTTCTGGCATGTTTTTGCTTTCACGGCCGCGCCGCCATGGCATGCGGCCCTAGTCTTCGCCATTTTTCCTGTGTTGGTGCACTTAGCGTGCCGCCAACGCGGCCCCCTGGACGCTCTGTAGCGGGGCCCAGCAACGCCGCCAATCTGAAGTGCGGCCACGCCTTCCCGCTTGCCTGCCCACCTTCAACCGGGTCGGGGAGCGGGGCAGGCGCCCTGCACCTCCCCTGTACAGACGGGAGCTCAAGGGGGTGACGGCGCGCTCGGGGGTGGAAATTGGTAGGGTGTGGTGGAATGCGGGCTGACTGAACCCGACTCGCAAGTTGTCACGACGGCCTCCTTGTGACTGGATGGCCTCCTCCCGCGCAACGATGCCGCGCTCTATACTTGTAACGCACTGGCTGGCGATGATGGCGGTGATATGCATAAAGCATCCTCCTGATCCGTGTGCTGGCCTTCGCTTCGCAGCCAAATTCTGGTGTGGCGAGGGCACCTGACCACGCCCAGGAGGTGCCAGGTGTCACCAGATGACCCTAGGCTGCGACACGCACACTAAAATTTATTCCGACCGCATTGTCAGCAAAGCGCCAAGTGCATCAAATACCTGCAAACACGCCGGTTGTACGGAGTGCTGCAATCATCTCTACATCTCAGCTCTCAGATCACGGGTTTTTTCCTGCTTGCTCCCACTAGCCGCAATCGCGTTAATTTGGAGATAGTACAGAGGCCGGGGGAGCTCAGTAGATCCTGGATCGCAAACCGGCCCCTGCGAGCAAGGTATGTATTGTAAAACATTAGTCAGGGCATATAGGACTCGTGTGTGTGTACCATCTAGGCCTGGATGGTGGTGGGCTCTCCAGTACAAGAAATCGGTCCTGCAGCTGCAGCACCAGCAGCAACTGCATCGCGCGCACCCAGCCGCAATCGCACCGACACCTGCCTCGCAGAAATAGCGCCCGCCGAACCCAGCAGCAGCAGCATCAGCGGCGGCGCCCCCACAACAGAGGCGGAGGCCCCGCCTTGCCTCGCCCAGCACACGCCATGTCGGCCCCCGAGGACCAGACAGGCCTGATGTGGAGCGACCCCGCGTGGCCCTGGCGCCCGCTCAACCGCTCCACGGCGCTGCAGTACTTTGAGCACAGCCCGTTCTACGACCCCAACAGCAACAACGCGGCGGCGCGCGCGCAGAACCTCGACCCCTCCAACGAAGCCGTGCTCCGGTGCGCCCGTTGCTGTGTGTGCCGGGGGGGTGGGGAAGGGCTTGTGCGGCGCAGCACGCCACAAAGCCAGAGGAACCGGCCGGCAGACCGCTGCTTACAAGAAGCGGCGCGACGCGTGAGCTCATTTCTCGCTGCATTGACGACGCGGGCGACGGCACGGCAGCAGCCTTCACCCCCTGGCCACGCGTCGGGGCAACCCGGCCCCAATACGCACCGCACGGCACACGCGTCACGCCTTTCCTTCCCCTGTCATCCGCCAAACGCATCACTCCCTCAGAGCCCTGCCCCCAGACCGGCCTGAATTTGTGCTGGCGGAAGTCCAGGAGCCGCACCTCTTCGCCGTCAGGAGGCAGCTGCGCGC